GGTGTGAATAAGGGATACACCATGCCTATGTGTAATCCAAGGGATTTTTAGGAACAATCTGTCGTTTTCGAACGATATTGTTTCCCAATTCCTCTCCTTATTGTTTCCCAACTCCTCTAATATTATCCCTACCCCTCCCCCATCTACTTCCCCGCCATCCGCACTTTTTATCCCACAGCCGTGGCCATTAGATTGAAGAATTTGTGCTGTTTTGAAAAACATCGCTAATTTCGCGGCCGCACACACAGTGAAGTAAATAGTGATATCTGCAGTCCAACGCGATCGTATCTTATCTTATTGTTGGCTGGAATTGTGGGCTGGCTGGCAGATTGTTGGCTAGCTTGATGTAGCTGTGCTCTATCTTGTGTTTCTAGTATCTTTGACTCTAGTGATAAAGTTTTCCTCCATTAGTGGAAAAGAAGGGTGCCGTGTGCGTCTGGATATACTTAGCCAGAGCCATAGATAGAAAGAGTTGCGACATTGAGAACTTAGAAGCCATTTTGTGTCATACGCGATGCGCGTTCTGTGTCTAACGTGATGTGAAGTATAGGAAACATGCATTATAATAAAGAATTGGCGCCACCTACGTCGGGCTAATTTCCACCTCATTTTTACTGTGCGAGTGCTCTATCTTGGTATTTCTAGTATCTTTGCTAAGACCAATACAATAAACTTGAGAGTTACTAATGCTGTCTTAACAATTGCATAATGTGATGCATAAGAGAGTTCTCGGTCTGTTTGATTTAACGGGTCTTTCTGATGGGATATTAATGTCTCCTGAAAACATGTAGACTGAATACAAATTATCAACGTGTATAATGCCACTATCTGGAGGGCGGTAGAATGATCGTGCGATAATTGGTTTGGTAATGGGCAGACTGTCGAAACTCAGTTTTCCAAATCCCAGGTTGTCGAGTCCATTTTGCCGAAACCCAGTTTGCCGAATATTAAAACTATCAACTCAAAACTGGGAAACCCAGTTTGCCAAATCCCAGGTTGCCGAACGTAAATATCAAAATAACACGATGGATAATTCACGATGGAACACTCTCTTACCCGCCTTATTCAATTCAATTCAATTAACATTTATTCAATTAATTAATCAAATACATCAAATGATAAATAAAGTGGACAACATTAAAATTAATTAAATTCATTATTGTGTTAGTCAAGCTTAGGCCTGTATCCACACTCTAGGCATATACACCAAGCGCAATGATTGTCCTCCAGCCTGCTACCAAATAAATTTCATAAAGAATTATTAGGCTACAATTACTCATATTTTCCAACCCGTTTTCATTTTATCCCTTTCTTACTATTAGCACGTCCTTTTTTTTTTTATACTTCCTGACCTTTTTTTCCTGTGATCTTTTGTTACGGTATGTTTTACATGCTATTGAGTGTACGGTATATAAGAGCGCAGTTTTTACCCTAAAGCCAGGCACTCATTGCGTCGGACGACAGTTATACGACCATCGACCGACTTAAATTTCGCGATTCCCATTTGCGATCCCCAAATATTCTAGATACGTCATTGATAACCAAAGCACAGTAGACTGCACCTCTTTGTACTTTCTACCCACGACGGTGAATAGAATTTCAACCTACTGTATTAGTATAGTTGGTCAATTTCGGCAAAACAGGTTTCGGAAAATTGGATTTCAATTTTGAGTCTGTAAAATGGCATTTGGCAAACTGGGTTTCGGCAAAGTGGACTCGGCAATCTGGGATTCGATAAACTGGGTTTCAAACGGGGGAAGGGGACACAACATTTTCGGAATAGATAACTGAGTAGCGGTTATTTCAATACATAATATGATTGATATGCGTTGACATTTTAAAATTTAGTGGCAAAACCGGATCAGCGCCTGCGCTGGGTTGTAGTAACTCGACCCATCGCAATCTCGAGTTTCGCACTTTCAAGTAGTCGCGGGTTGTTCCTGCCATTGATAATCAGGCCTGGGACCAGACTATTTAAAGTAAAGCTGCAATAAAGCAGTGATCTTGGCTACTGCTATAGAGCTGACTCCTTGGCCTTAGGTCTACTCAGATAGACCTAAGAATCTAACGTCAAAACTGACAGCATTTTCAAAATTGAACAGTGATAATTTTAACATTTGATGACTTCATGTGTGAAAAAGGAGCTTGGAAACTTGAAAAGGTGAGAAGATAATGCGATCAATACACTAATTTTTAATATTATATAGATGTAAAAAATGATCTGTAAATGATCTGATAAGTATCAGTTTCGGTGACCAATAATAGTCGTGATAGTCATGATGACGTCACCAAACCTGATTACGGGATTCTCATCAGATGATCAATGACTGATAATATATATTATGTTTTTGAATAATTGTAAACTGTTTGATAAAGACGACAGTGGCGCATCTAGGCATCTTAAAATGGGGGGGGGGAGGTCTGATAGGGGCGCGTGATAGGGGCGTGTGATAGGGGCGCGAAGGTGGAGGGGTGCTCGATGATTAATTGAGCGGGTAGACTATTTAAAGTAAAGCTGCAATAAAGCAGTGATCTTGGCTACTGCTATAGAGCTGACTCCTTGGCCTTAGGTCTACTCAGATAGACCTAAGAATCTAACGTCAAAACTGACAGCATTTTCAAAATTGAACAGTGATAATTTTAACATTTGATGACTTCATGTGTGAAAAAGGAGCTTGGAAACTTGAAAAGGTGAGAAGATAATGCGATCAATACACTAATTTTTAATATTATATAGATGTAAAAAATGATCTGTAAATGATCTGATAAGTATCAGTTTCGGTGACCAATAATAGTCGTGATAGTCATGATGACGTCACCAAACCTGATTACGGGATTCTCATCAGATGATCAATGACTGGTGCTCGCACCAGTATAGAAGCAATTTATTTTTCACTTAAACTTATCGTTTAGGTAGAATCGGTTGATAATATATATTATGTTTTTGAATAATTGTAAACTGTTTGATAAAGACGACAGTGGCGCATCTAGGCATCTTAAAATGGGGGGGGGGAGGTCTGATAGGGGCGCGTGATAGGGGCGCGTGATAGGGGCGCGAAGGTGGAGGGGTGCTCGATGATTAATTGAGGGGGTGCAAGAACGCAAAATAAAGTGGTTTTTAACTAATTGAGCGTGATTATTTTTTTTTGGCATTTTCAATGTGGGGGACGGCTGGTGGGTGCCAGATTTCTTTGGGGGTGCGTGCCCCTAACCCCCGCGCATCCCTGGATACGCCACTGAATAAAGGTGGTGGTTTCACCACAAAAGAGAGTGAAAACAATTTGTGATGCACTTACTCTAAAATGAATTATTTTGCCACAGGAAGCAGTCACGCAAGTTGAATCAAAAGCCTGACCAATATAAAATTACCAATTAGTGTTTAGTCTGCATCTAAATCAAAACTACGTCACCAAATTCAAACACTATACATCGCCTTCACCTTTTCACAAAAAGCTGAATCCGCCACCCCTGATTCTAGTGCTCTGTTATTGGTGACCTGTAACTTCATCATCTGTATAGATCTCTCCTTGGCGATAACTCCGTAGTCTGACTAGACCAGTCATATGGATTTCGGTGTTGTCCCAATAAATTAAACATTTTTCCTATAGGGCTGTTACAACGGATGGGTAAATTTCGTTACACTAAGATGTCCCTTTCAATGGCTTCCGGTTCTGGACTTATGCGTGCAAGATAAAACGAAAGTTACTTTTTCGTTTCAAATGACATCATACAATTACATAAAAAAATGTTGATTAGGACATGTTCTGCTAGGCAATGTTTTTATTTTGTGTTTGAAATGTACTGGACCATTAATTAACTTTTTAATGTTATATATTCAGTAATGTTTTTGAACTGCTCCAAGTGCGATAGATAATGAATTGAAGAACTGAATAGTATTTTACCTAATTTCGAACCACAGACGAAGTACAGCGTAATATGATCTGCATATATTATTTTTATATATTAACTGACATTTCACTTCATTGCAGTTATTTGTGCCCAGCGCGCTGGTAAAGTTAAACGATGGCCAAAATCGCTTCTAAGTTCTTTGTATTACTTATCGCCATTCTAATAGCATATTTTTGGTTTATGAATTGGTCTTCATCCTTCACGCCTACAAGTAAGATTTACACATTTTCCTTCAGATATTTTATAGAATATTATCAAGAAAAATCATAGTCAACCTTATGATGTATCATCATCATCATCATCCTCATCCTTGTCGTCACCTTCACCATTATTATTATTATTATTATTATTATAGTAGTAGTAGTAGTAGTACTATTACCATTATTATTATTATTATTATTATTATTATTATTATTATTATTATTATTATTATTATTATTATTCACGCCAACAAGTAAGATTTACATATTTTCATCATCATCATGGTCAACCTTATGAGGATAATCATCATCGGCATCATCCCTGTCGTCACCTTCACTATTATTATTATTATTATTATTATTACTATTATTATTATTACTGTATTATTATAATATTAATAATAATTATTATTATCATCATCATCATTATTATAAATATTAAATATTAACACTATTACAGTTGTGGAACTGTTTGCGGAAGTTACAAACATTTTACTATTGAAAAACATAAACATTATTACTTTTATTATTATAAGTATTACTATGCTATTACTACCGGTACTACTACTACTACTACTACTACTACTACTACTACTACTACCACTACTACTACTACTACTACTACTACTAGTAGTAGTTAGCGCCACCACTACGAAACTAAAACACTACCGTACTACCAATAGGCCCACTTTTACAACCGGCGTTGGCGATATTATTGAAATCTTTGTATTTTTCTCTTTCAGTGTCTAAAATACAACAGTTGCCAGAGACAAGTAAGATATCTCATCTCAAATTATTGAAAAGATATTATATTTGTCATAGCAATTTTTAATCAATATAATGTATAAGAAATATGATTTTGACAATATATGTATATTATTTGGTATCATCCTGTTTCCAGAGGTCCAAGCTAGGTGTCAAATAATAGAAATATAAGTCTATGTTAATGTGTGCATACATTGTAAAAACAGCGTCTTTAACATTACGCTTTGTGTTTAAGACGCTGTTTTTACATTGTAAAAACAGCGTCTTAAACACAAAGCGTAATGTTATCTCGCTTTTGGTGGCACTTTTTAAAGCTAAAAATATTTAGTGACGGTCTAATTTGCTTAGAATCTTTAAATGTTCAGCATTAAATGTGCTTTGGTATTTGACATCATTCACATTTGAGAAACATCTAACTGGAATGCAAATAAATACCATAAATAATTATAATTTTTTCCATTTCTTCCAACAGGGGTCATCGTCACGCTAAAACAATCGAATGATTCAAAAACATCTGAGGTAATAATGATTATTCCAAAAAAAAAAATAATAATAAGGGACTTCAAACAAGTAACGCCTAGCGCCTAGAATTCACACAATTTACATACAACAATTTACATACATCAGAATGTTAATATAAGATTTAAATTTAAATAACAATAAAAACGTTTACCTCAAAACATTATGTAGTATCTTGATATAGGCCTATCACTAATGAATTGGTATTATGCCATTTCAATATTTTCTTTTGTCTTTTGTGGGGATCACCCACCATTATTTGTCCTCTTTTTTCATGGTTTTCAATTTTACTTTTTTCTCATATACCGTACAATATTTTATAATTTTACAATATAAAACAAAATTAAAAAAAAAAAACAAATAGCGTTTTATAAGTATTTTTTGTTGATGAGAAAATAGCACATTTCCCGTAATATTTTC